TATATATATATATATATATATATATATATAATAAATACCTTGACATTAAACTGTAGCATTGTTCAAGGAGAATCATATAAACGTTCACGATTATGACATCGAAGTAACTAGGTACTAAATAACGAGGTATCAATTTGAATGGCTCAGTAGCTTCTTCCAACCATTCCCCAAGGGATCTGGTTCCATCATCTTCCTTTAGCCGTTGCCACGTGTAGTCTGCATACGTATATATTTTAATATTGCGCAAATTTTAATAATGAATAATAAAGAGACTCACCGATTAACCAATTACCCTGTCTCAGATTAATGCACATTGGATGACCCAAATCATTGTTTGGACGGATATCCGCTAATAGAGAAATGATGCCTGAAAATAAAAAGAAATATTTTTAAGTTATTGTAACTAAACAATTATTCGATATTAACACGTTGATTACCGAGGACTAATTGATTAGTCCACATGTGTTAGCTCTGTACAAATAAATTACCTTGCAGCCCTGCGTAGACAAGAGGACCGTATCCAGGGATATCATACACGCCAAATCTGTTTGAAGTTTCATCACGTTCTTCTTGATCACATCTATACAAAGCCTTATTCAAATCTACCAAGTCCATACGAGACGCTAGAACACGTAAATCAGAACTCTTCGATGATGTTATTATTGAGATGGTGTTGTGCAATTTTGCAAGAGCAGGCTTTATGTTAGCATGAAGTGATACTCTGAAATAAAAAATGTAAATGTACAGACATATCTTAACGAAAAAAAAGTATAAACAAAAATATAGGAAATTGTTCTTACCGAATAGCAATAATAGAGCCTGGTTGGAAATTTACGAAGTTCAGCTGAGTGATCTTAGGATCTCCAGAATCAACTTTCTCCAATGCTTCTGAATCACAGATTTGTATGTGTTCTTTGAGACTTAAAACATACTCAGACAGACCGTTTATATACGTTTCGTCTTGCGTATATTTTTCCGGATAATGGAAAGGTGAAGTTCCATTCCTACGCCCAATACATCACCAATGAAATTAAGAAATATATACTAAGAACAATAAAAAAAAAGAAATAGTGAATCTTACTTTACTCCTACATGAGACAAAGATGCTTCTAAAATGATCTCTTCTACCACACCTTCCACACGCAACGGCTTTACATGTCTTCTCAAATCATTAGCATTGGGATCTGGATGTTTGAATGCTGTGAAGGCAACGAGAACTACGCTATCGTGGGTTGTTGGAGAGTGTCTTGTTACAGCTACTATGTCACTGTCCATTTGGTCAACGAAAACCTACAATTTTGATAATTAATATTTAATTATTTACATTAAGTGATTTATAATTATGAATACAATAATATCGATATACCTGAGAAAATTTCTGTTGACCCAGATTATAATGTAACTCGTTCAACGCTTTCTTCCCTGCAATTATGCCTGTTTTTAGACCTACCAGCCCAACACCATCTATCAAATCTTCATCGTCTGTCCAAGAAGCGTATTGTCTTGTTTCGTCCACCACGTGTATCTGTGAAAATCAACGGGACCTTGTAAATTAAATTAACAAATAATTTAAATAAAAATGTCAAACAGATGGAATAATGTTTACATGATGAGGAATTAGTTCATCGTATCCACGATTACTGCCACTGGCACATGCGGCCATCGACACAAGTGCAGCACTTGGAAGTAAATCAAATATGCTACGCTTCTCTGCGGGGCTAGGATTATCATGAGTCAGGTCCAGGAAAAGTGCATGTGCTATGCTCGGTACCAAGGGTCGTTTACGTGGTTGCATAAACGCTCCGACTGGTTCACCTCCATATCTGTAGACCAATCGACCTTCCTCGTGGCTGTCCCATGCAGACATCGCTTCTGTTTCGAAAATTAAAAAAAAACATAGTAACGCTAATTTTGTTTTATGAAAATAATTTTCTAAATTAAAAATAAATCTACGCACCCCGAATTAAAGAAGTGATACCAAGACGATTTACAAATATATTATCCTTTTGATCAGAATTAGTGAAGAGTTCTGCGACAACGTATAAATCTGGACGGACTCGGCGGGCAACATCAAGCATGTACTAAGAATAGTAAAAGCATAATGAGATTTTATATAAATTTGTAGATACGATTGAAATTTTTTATCAAGTGTATTCACCTCTGCGACCGGGATAGGTGTTGAATGACAATTGTCCAAACGGATACCATCGAATATTTTAGCTGTTTGTTCAACATAAGAAGTCATGTGTTGCCATAAGAATGGACAATCTTCTGGTTTGTCTCCATACCTGTAATTAAAATTAATAAAAGAAATAAATTTCTTGTTACTTTTCATTTCCGTAATTTCGTCGATAAACAATTTGTATAAAGATCTGCAACCAATTAATAACATTTTAACAATTGTATTACCTTAATTTTACGCTATCACCCCAAGCAATTAATTCTCTTCTTATATAAACATTGGAATCTGGATCTGCAAAATTCTTCAGAGGATCACCGTTCATTACCCATCCATTATGAACCATAAGGTAACATCCCGCATCCGAATACATTGTTGTTTCCCTCTCGCTCAACGTTTGAGGAGCTCCGTAGTCAGTAAAATATCTAAAATTTTATTATAATTTGTGATGATAATACACTATCTTTAAAATAAAAGAGTCAATTTTGGGCGTAACAAGATTCATCTACAGAAGACATACCTAGGGACAAGAGGATTCCTTTCACTTATTTCTTTAAGTTTTGGTCCATCAGGTTGTACTCTAAAGTATCTTATACCAGCAATTGTATTCTCAATCGCAGCGTTCAAATGATTTTGTACTTCGTTAATGATTACGTCGTTCAGTTCCTGTAACTTTTTCCTTAAATCTTCTGCGCAACGTTTTAGACGAGTTTCTTCATCAAAACAGTCAGCTCTGTAATCATATAATAATATGATGATGAAATAACAGAAAATTATATTAAATATAAAATGGCATACCTGTATACATTGTATTTTTGTAATGCTAGTTGCATATTTATAGTTGCCTTTAATCTACGGAATTTTGGGTCTCTTATCACTTTGATGTCTTCCAATATCGGTTCAGTAATGTCTTGAGGCATCTGATTTCGTGCCAAGTTTAAAAATTCAGCAATAGTTTCATTAATGTCTACTATATATAATTCTTGTATTTTCACAAGAGGTAGAAAATATGTATGAAGTGCATGACGAATTGACTGAAAACATTAAAAAATAATCAATATACAAAATTCATTGCTGTTACATACGAATAAATAAGTATAATCTGTTTGCTTTACGTTTAGGTGTTCTTCAGTTTCGACTACTGAAGGAATACCCTTAAATTCCCATTCCCCAGCAGCTACTTGCACTGTCAATTCAAATAATGTCGCATCCAAAATGTATGCAGGACGCAAATGAGGACTATTTAAACAATTATATGTACATTCCGGATGGGATACTAAGAAAGGACTTTCGTTGGCTGTGTGATTCAGCACGATATCACATATACTTAACATCTGAAATAGATAACGTTGAAAAAATTTAATTCTGAGTGTATGAAGTTGAGTGACTTACGTTCCATTCATTACGCATTTTATTCGTGAGTTCTTCAATATCGTCGAATGTAACTAGTTTATCGTCATCGTTAAAGGAAGGATTTAATTTTAATTGATCGCTAAGACTATAAGATGATTTAGAGAACCCCAATTCCTGAAAAATAATCGTAATTTTAATAATATACGTCGCATTACATATGCATATACACTATATAGAAATGAATTATTTCATTGCAAATTAATATTACCTGAATAGGTGTAAAGTGGACTACATTGTATCCAGAATTCCGAGCTACTAAAAGCTTATCTTCCCATGTGGAAAAAGGTCCTAAACATTTGGCCAAAACAGTTTGACACTGAATACAATCTAATGGTAGGGTCTCTCCAAGTTCTCCAATTTTAAGTTCTGGATCAACTAGCAAGTATCCAGAAGCAATTGGTTTTACACCTTCGGAACTAAAACATTCAACATTTAAATATTTCACATGGATTAATGGTAACATTTTGTGCATATTGATACTTACTTAGGATCTGTAAGGTAATAATGAAATGAACCAGCTAAAGATAAACATATACTAGCTGTCTCATTTGACCATTCTAATGGGTAATATGTATGTCTCTCAAATTTTTGATTTTTCTCCAAAGGATGATTTATAAATAGATCAAGTGTCTTCCCAAGCAAAGAAGCGCCTAATCGAAATTCCACTCTCCATCCTGTAAAAAAACATGTCATATTTAAACAGTGTTTATACAATTATTATTATTTATTTCTTTATAATTACATACCTTTCTTTAATCTATATAGTATACCATCAAGATGTTCTCCATTATTTAAAGTTAAGACTCTTATCTGTTCAGAGTCCAAACTTTGAGACGATGACGTATGTTCTGTCATATTCTCGGTTATTGCCTAGAAAGAGAACAAATATTTTGTAATTTATAGAACATTTAATATTTTTCACATATATTCCAATTGTAACAGATACATATTACATATAACAAAATTTTAATTTATACTTTTATGCTCTTGTAACATGTATCTTTTAACACACCATATTATTACACCACTAAAAATCCTTATTAACAGCACAACACAACAGTTTTTAAGATAATAAACATTAAATATAAAATAAACGAAAAATTTGTTTTAAAAAATACACTGAAATGATGGGACGTGTTATTAATAAATACGATGATTAAAATATTTAAAAGTATATTTAAATACACGTATTACTTTTGTAAGACAAATTGCTCCTCAAGAGATTAGTACTTACACGTGGGATGCAGCAAATGGATAAATACTTAGGCCACAACTCCCTTAATATAAGCTAGCAGCACAAAGCAGTTAGTAAGCGTACAAGAACCATATTATGTTACAAGGTTCTGCTGCGCGAACATGCACAAAGCCATAAGCTATTCTCATCTAAATGCTTGGATTACCTCTTTGTAATACTAAAGACAGAAGCAGACTTCCTACCATATAATATTAATTGTACATTTATTACTACGGTTTTATATCTACTACCCAACTTAATTGTGACCAATTTTAACAAATAAATTATTACGATTATTATTCTACCATTGAAGTGTTAGTCTGAAAATGTGAAAAAAATTGTTACAATTAGAATTTCATTTCACTAAATATTGTTCTTTTGTATCATATGGATAAATGGTTGCATATTTGAGGAAACAGATTACACATATGTAACATCCTTAAATGTTAAAGACCTTCAATTGGGTCATTTGGATTATATTAACTGTGTTACTAAGACAATACATTATCAAATGGTAATTAAATGAATTACGAGCCCCTTATCAATCATGACCAGGGATACAAATGTGTATAGTTAATGGAAATTATTGGTATTATCTGTTGAAACTTACATAATAGCAAAGACATTTTAAGTAGTGACAACTGTAAATACGTTGAAGAATGCTCCTAAGCTTCTTGATTAGTGCCTTTGATGTATCTCGTAAAAAATTACTTATTGCAAGCACAGAACCCATTTTCAAAATAAAGGAATCATACGGCTGAAATCACTTGTTACTAAGCGAAACGAATTCGTTAAATTAATTGTATATTATCACAGCTCTTATCACAGTTGTTCTTTTTTTACTTAAGCAAAGGCCATTTAGTCTGATTCCTACAACAAATGCAAAGATATATGTGTATATATATGTAGAACAGATTATAAGTTTCACTAATCAATTCCAATAAAAAAAAATATTAATTCTTTGGAACTGACATTCAAGAAATGTATTAACATTTATTATCCTATTTTATAAAAAGAAGACGGTATATTACAAAACTACTTTATTTGTTCATTCAATGTACATTAATTGTATATAAAAATATACAAAATAATTACATTTAAAATACAATATTACTTATTTTTTATATTTTTTTTCAAATATTACAAAATTATATTTGTACAACACTCGTATGTAAAAGAAAAGATTTAAAGTAAACCGTCTATTAAATTGAATTATAAAAAAGATGATCGTGATGTTAATGCTGTAAAGCTTGTACAAAAAAATATACGAATTTTAAATAAGTGCATGAAACCTGTTTCGATGCAACTATAATTGTTAGAAATTGAAACATGTATGAATGCAAAATTGATTTGTAACGATACATCATCTATGTATATAGCGGGTTAATAAATGCAAAGTAAATTCTAATTAACATTTTACCCTCGTGTAACTAAAACATGCAATGTAAACTCGTTACAACAGCGTCTTAGGAAACACATATTACAATTTTCTCCTGTGGACATCTTGTACATTTTTTTCCATACCTGACTACTCTGCTAACTTTTCAATAGGAAAAATATTATATTTTCATTCCGAAAGAACAGGAGAAAAATGTAACCGAAACATTAAATAAAACGAAATTCTAACGCAAACTTTCTCCACAGGAAAAGAATGTTTAAATATGATTCACTGTACAATAGATTATTTTTGTGATAAATTTAAGACTAACGCGTTTGGTTTGATTTTGACCTCTAATTTTAAGAAGACAAACTTTGGAGGTCACGAAAATAGAAGCATGGTTCAAGTTTAAGCAACAGCTGAAAGCAGACGACAGGTTGCAGTTGATAAATTCAAGCTCGTTGATTGGGCGATTGTCTATGGCAATTTCGTGACTATTTTTTAAATATTATTTCTCTTAAAAGATATATTTTTAAGGTCACTCATTTATTGACATTTATTTATGATAAAATTCGTTGCATAAATTCCTATAAACTTATTTATTAGGTTATAATCATTCTGTAGGGCACAGTAATTTTATCAATGATTCAGAAAAAGTTGTTCATGATACTTTCACTAAAAATGTATGAAACATATCTGATAATACTTTAATAATAATTGAAATAAGATTTTCTGAATATTCTACAGTCAACCCGTTTGCATCCGTAAATGAAATATTCTGCGCATGACGATCGTCTCCTATTACCGAGCGCGGAATAGTCCGCGAGCCGCGACTTTCTTTTATGACCACCCGCGGAATATTCCGCATATGACAATATAAACTGCCAATATACGGCCGCGTGCGGTAACACGGGCCAATCGTCAGTTGAAACCGCTAATGTCTGAACACAGAAACTTAAGTAGAGTTATGATGCAAATGGGTTAAGTACCCTCAACGTTCCATAGATAAATATTAAAAATTGGAAATCTTCGTTCGTAATAGAAAGTAGCTCGAATTATAAAAGGGAATGTGAAGTGATAATAATTTTTCAATTCGAATAACAACATACGATACAATTAACTAAAAACCGGTAATATTTCTTGTCAATCGCTGTCATTCGCTTTCTCTTGCGCACATTATTGCAAAATGGCAGCCGCTACAGACGAGCTTAGTAAGTACTCTGAAAAAAAACTTAAATTATTTCATTTAAAAATTCTTTTACCATTCAGAACATGTCTAGTATCATTAACTATGTTATGGATCATTTAATAAAATTTAAATCGGTAATGATTACAACAGTATAAGAAAATTATTGTCCATAGTAGAAAATTAGTTGTCATGCTGTGTTGCAGAAAGCAACTTCAAATATATTACTTCGTTTTTTTTATAGTTCAGATTCAAAATTGTATTTTGTAATAAATTTTATGGTTCAACGTGTATTTTAGTATGATATTCTATGCGTGTTCCTATCTGTCAATTAAATGATAGTAAATGACATTCTTACTTTCTTCCCTTATTTATTTCTCATTAATATTTTATCTTTTATTGATGTATAATCTTTTTTTTAATATACAGCATAGTAGTTTACTTATTGTTAGTTTTTAAATACAAATATATCATTGATACTGTTTTATTCAATACTTAATATCAAAGATTAAATAATTTTGTTATCCCTTTGTTATATTTTTTGCATTTTCAAATAATATTTACTTTAAAGTACAATGTAATTATTATATTATTTAATATTAAAGGAAAAAAATTTATATATAATTGTGAATTAATTTATGTATATCTTATTTCATGCTAGTTCTATTGGAACGAGTGTTTCTTCGACTGGGGTCAGCAGAGACTGACGAGCAGTTACAGACATCAGTCTGTAAATTTCTGCCTCCAGTTTTACTGAAATTATCCAGCTCGCCAGGAGTCAGAAAGAAAGTAATGGAATTATTAATTCATATAAATAAAAGAATAAAAAGTAGACCTCAGGTTCAACTACCAGTTGAGGCATTGTTATTACAATATCAAGATCCAGCTGCTAGTTCATTTGTAATTGTATGTTGTCTTTAAAAAATGTTGATGTTATTACATTTTTGTGGGAGAAAAATTAATTATTATATATTTATAGAATTTTACAATTATATATATAAAACTAGGATATCCTAGGATGGAGATGGAACGACAAGCCAACCTGGTTCCAAGTGTGCTGAATGCTATAGAAGGAAAACCGTTGTCTCATCAAGATAGGTTTGTTAATAATTTGTTATTACATATTTTATTGCCTGAGTAAAATATTCTAGATGATTGAATGTGTTTATAAAATTATTTCAGTTTATTGCACATAATTATGCCTGTGTTGGGTCATATCAATATCCCTACAGATCCAGATAAGCGGACATCACTTCTTGGTTTACAAGATAAACCTTACGTAGCAAAACAGTTGCTCAGCTTTATGCTTGACGTACTATTATTACCATATGGGTAAAATTATTCACTGTGTAGCTATGTATTAAACCCAGTTGATAGTGATTCTATAAAAAATTATTGCTGTAGGTCTGATTGGTCACAATTTCCTGTACCACCTGGATTAAACGAATACGCTTTCAAACGTGTAATAGGAGAAAAGGCACCAACAGCGGAACAACTTGAACAAACGAAGCTTGGGATTGTAAAATTTCTGGCTGGAGGATTTTTCCCAGACCCAGACATTTTTATACACTTAATAGTAGCTGCTGCAGACACTAGATTCAGTGTGGCTAATATGGCAGACTTGGAGTTGAAAAAAATTGTGAAGTATGTTGTTTAATATAAGAAATATTGAAACAAAAGGTATTTTAAGCACTTTCAATTTTTGTTTCCTTATAAATATTCAGTACATTGGATTGGTCTTCAAAGCAGTTAGCGACTCCACTATACACATTATTTTTGGGTATTGATCCTGTGGAAGAATATAAACCAGAAATGAAGCGTCTGCCAGCGAGTACCCGAATTCGATTGAAATTATTGCATTATCTATGTCGTATAACTATACCTCATTCTATTATAATGGCATGCATTGAGGTATGTTTTATAAGATTATATTGTTTTTCATGATATTTAACATAAATCGACTTACAGGTAGTGTTTCATTCGCTTTTTGGAGAAAATACGAATCCAAAGTTGAAATCTATGGCGTTACAATTCACGTTAAACATTGTTCAGCAGTAAGCATAATATATTCTAATTATTTTTTTCTGAATAATTATATTTCTGTATACTAATATTATATTTCACATAATACATTAAGATGTAGCCCTTCACCATTAGTTCATGTGGATGGGCTTATTTTAAATGGAATGATGCAATTCATTTCTGAAGGAGAAGATAGTCAAAAAATTATGGCATATACTATTATTGGACAGCTAGGACAAAGAGTTCCATCTTTGATCAACAAAAAATCAAATATGTTACGTAATTTATTTGATACACTTGTGTCGGTAAGTAATAATATCTATCAATTTCAGTAGCTTGAGTTGTATATAACTGTAACTATTAATATGGTTTTGATATTTAAGACGGAAGGTGATCTACGAAGGGCTGTACGTGATGCTCTGATTTCCATAACATCTAGTTTTGTGCTTAATAAAGAAGATGAAACTAATATAGCCGCAATGAATGATTTATTATCTACCTATATTGAATCACCTGAATCTAATGTTAGGCAAGTATACACTGATTAAATCATGTATATAGTTATTCTCTTCTTAGTGATATCTCATTAATTGTTTTTTAATATACCATTTTCTTGACTACAGATTTGTGGCTATGCATTGCGCTGCTAGTATTTTTCCACCAGATGATCCACCTTCTCGTTATCTATTGTTACTAGCATCTGGTGATAGCAAACATGAAATAAGTACAGAAGCTATAAAGGTTCTTTATGGAGTTGTCCACAAAACCGAGATTGATAAACAAGAGAACAGTCAAATTGTGTTACCAGATTTTCAAAAACTTATTGTTTATATATATTCAAAAATGCAAACTAGAATGCCTACCTCCAATAGTGGAAAAGTTAATGTTGAAAGTAAAGTACTTCCGTTCAGTGTCCCTGTGTTCACGCAGGTAATTTGTTTAAAATTGATTTATGCGTACTACAAAAAAATTAATTCCTTTTTTCCTTGTAGATAATTACATATCTTCGCATTTGTTTAGCAAGAAGCGCTAATGTAACTATCAGTAATGAACCATTACAACATCCTTGCGAAAGTACACCATTAATTGCACAATATTTAAAAGATCTATACAAACATCAGCCTGAAATATTGAACAACTATCTCGATATGATTTTAATTCTTAGTCATGCCTCAACAGGTAAAATTAGCAATTGTATTTATGTGTTAGGCATTAATTATCTATACTTTATTTTACTGAATATTCCATTTTATCCAATATAGATCAATGTTCTCTACAAGCTTTATTGGAAGTAGTAGGTTCTGTTCCACAATACGTATCAAAAATTTACAAGAAAGAATTATCGTGGCTTCAGACTTTAATTACATCTATTAAACCAGATATAAGACAGTTAGCAGCTAAAGTTTATGGTATAATAACTGTCCCATTACCTGAGGATGTTTTTGAGACTCAAATTTCTGAAATTATGAGCCTTACAACTAAGAAGAATTTAGAAGCACAGCATGGAGCATTATTGACCTTAACGTGTATGATGGAAAGAAGATTAGTTTCCAGCAAGAATGGCACAAATTCGCTTAATTTAGAAACTTATATTAATATTGTGAAACTGATATGTACGTGTATTGCCACATATACAGTTACAAAAAGAATCTTCAAACTTAATATCAGAATCATTTTTTCAGATACTTTTCTTCATAACAATACACTCTTGTTAATGGAGGCTGCGATTCAAAGCATCGGCATCTTAGGAAAAACATGCAGTCTGCCAATACCTGACATGAATGGAAGCGAACCAAATAAAAAAGCAATCGTAGAAGGACTATTTTCTGTATTGACTAATGTAAAACTAAATGCTAAGGTTCGTTCTTTATGAAGAAATTATTTTTATTGCATTATAATTCTTTAATGTCCTGATATTCAATAATTTCAATGTGAATGCTTGAAATAGCAATAACGGAGCAGTTAAGAACAAAGTTAACAATGTATCTTTTATTTAATTTTAATTTTTATAGATTAAAGAAAAGGCTGCTCTTTCACTAGGCTATTTGTGTGTAGGGGAAAGTTTTCCACACACATCAGATATAGTAACCCAAATAATTGCTATGGTCAAAGAGGTAATTACGTATTATTAAGGAATCTTTCTAATTGCTGCTTGTATAACAACAAAAATTATCACGTATTTTTGTAAATTTTATAGACGAAAGATATTGAAGTTCATTTAACTTTGGGGGAAGCTTTGGTATGTTGTGTTCAGGGACAAGCACATACAGAAGGACGAGATGCTTGGGTAACATTACCAAAGGAACATAAAGTACCTTATAACAATGCTAGTAGAGAACTTCTGACACAAACAGTAGACGAATTACTTCGAATATACAAAGAACCGCATCCTAATTTAAGACAGGTATTCATTTGGTAATTTCTTTTATGAAATTATGGTTTCTTCATTTTTTGTATCATTACTATTTTTCATAAGGCGGTCTGTGTATGGTTGTTAGCTCTCTTGAAATATAATGTTCAGGAGGAATGTATTAAGCAAAGGTTTCCAATGATGCATCATGCATTCATAGATTTTCTTTCAGACGATAGTGGTAAGTGCTGCCATAGTTTTTAATCTTTACACCAGAGATAATTGCAGCGTCTATTCCTAAAGCACATTACCTTAATTATAGATATAGTGCAGGATATTGCAGCGAAGGGACTTAGTGTAATACACATAAATAGTACAAAAGAAGAGAAAGAACGATTAATTTCAGATATCTTAAATCAATTTACTCAAGGTCGTAAAGGGGTAAAACAAGTTACGGCTGACACAAAGTTATTCGAGGAAGGTCAATTAGGAAAATCACCTACAAAGTGCGATATAAATATTTAATAGCTTTTTTCTTTCATATCTTAAATCCGATATTTTGAATTCATCTGTACAAATCGTACTTCACTTGCAGCGGAAATTTATCAACGTACAGAGAAATTTGTTCTCTGGCTACAGAATTACAAAAGCCGGACTTGATATATTATTTTATGCATCTCGCGAATCACAACGCAGTATGGACGTCCAAGAAAGGTGCTGCATTTGGATTTGCAGCTATTGCCAAAGTAGCAAATGAAGAGTTGAATAAGTATTTACCCAGTATAATTCCACGTTTATACAGATATCAATTCGACCCGACGCCCAAAATTCATCAGAGTATGTCTAATATCTGGCACACGATTGTTCCCTCGACAAGCAAAGCCGTGAGTATTATTATCAAATGATTCTCAGTCTCTCGTGCGGAAGAGATCATTTATAATAATCTTTCATGCCTTGATAGATCGAACAATATCATAAAGAAATATTGAAAGATATAACTGATAATTTAACTCATCACGAATGGAGAGTGCGTATTAGTAGTTGCAATGCGCTTGCAGATCTGTTAAGAGCGAACGTTCGTTTCAATCTTGCCGAATGCGCGCCTGTATTATGGGAGAAACTGTTTCGAGTAATGGACGACATCCACGAAGGTACCAGACTAGCAGCTACGAACACGGCTAAAGTGCTCAGCAGAGTAAGTTCCGTGAACGTTCCCTTTTCAGTTCTCTAATTATTCATAAAATTTACATTAAAATTATCGGTATAGGTTTGTATTCGTTATTGCGACTCCACTCATGGCAAAGAAGGAGAAGAAGTCATACAAGCAATATTGCCTGTATTATTAGACATTGGGGTTGTCAATATTGTGAGCACCGTAAGATCAGTGTCTCTGCAAACAGTGTCCCAATTAGTAACGAAGGCTGGCGATTTGCTTAAACCGTCTCTGGTTATTTTAATTCCTGTTCTGTTGTCTACGATCGGAGAATCGGAAAGTCCAAATTTGTCGTACCTAAGCAATATACACGGAGCATCGTTAGAAACACGAGAAACGATTGACAGTATTAGAGCCAGTGCCGCTAAAGGGCATTATGCTACCGATACAATAACAAAAGTAAGTTTCATAACGAGGCCTGGCCACATAAGATTTACACTGCAATAATACTCTATGCTTATTTTAACGCAGTGCGTACAGTACATTGACACAGAGATTCTGAGAGAATTAATACCTAAGCTAATAGACTTAATAAAGTCTACCGTGGGATTCGGAACAAAGATAACTTGTTCACATTTCGTAATTCTTTTGAGTACTCATCATAAACTTCTGTTGCAACCTTACGCTGGTAATTGGAAAATTATAAATTTATTATAATCACAATGTGACAATTTAGATTATATTTATTATGTTCCGGTTTGTCGTACAGGTAAACTTTTGTCTGCTTTAATGAACGGTTTGTTAGATCGCAATTCGGTCGTTCGAAAAAATAATGCAATTGCCATTGGTCACGTAGTGGGATCAGCCAAAGAATCTAGTCTTGATAAATTGTTTAAAACGCTTAATACATGGTATACGGAGAAAGGTACGTATGAAATTATAACGGTTCGCGGACGTTGTAAATCCCTGAGATTATAGAGGAAAAGATGTTACGTAATAATATCAAATTTTAGATGATTCGATTAAAATAGCAATTGGACAAACGTTGCAAGCTACGAATAATTATAATCAGGAGGTATTGAAAAAATATTCGAATATCGTTATACCACTCACCTTCTTCGCGATGCATATGCAAAAGACACAAGGTTTGTAGTTGCTTCTACAGCTTGATCTGTAAGTGATTTCTGTTATTTATGAATGATATCTTATTAGAGAATGAAAATATGGTTGATTTATGGACTGACCTATGGAACGAGATAACTCCCGGAACTGAAACCGGTATTAAACAAAACTTGGAAACAATAACAGAACTTCTACATTCATCCTTGGAGTCGTCGTCGTGGACTGCGAAAATTCAGGCCGCCAATGCAATTCACACTTTAGCCCAAAAATTAGGAACTGACATTGACCCCGCTGCGCGGAACATCTTGTTGAAAGTATTGACAGATGGTTTACGTGGAAGAACGTGGGATGGGAAAGAAAGGGTTTTAAATGCTCTTGCTACGTTGGCGTGTAATAGCAAGTATGAAAAAAATCCATAAGATAAAAATTACATAAGTAAATATCTTTTGGCGGAAGCAGACCTTAAGTTTAATAAGAACGGGAAAGTTTGAACGAAAAAATGTAATTTAGTTCGTTTCATTTAGCTTTCTAAAACGTATCATTTTTTAGAAATCTTCTATAGACATTCAGTCATTCTATGTCTTGTTAATGGCTACTGTATTCTTACGTCATTAAGAATGTGTGTTGCTCAGAAAGAAATAATATTGTAATTGCAGACAAGCTCTCAAAGAAAACCCTGAAATTTGTGCGGACATAGTGCAAGCACTGCACCGTGAGAGCAAAAAGGAAGCTTTGGAATATCGACGGTACGCCCTGCAAGCCTTTGGTACTGTTTTACACGAATTAGACATTGACAAGTTCCAGGAAGTAAGCGATATACTTGAAGAATTTTGGAGAACGGTAAGTATATACGTATACGGTATCCGTAAATCACAATATGATTGTTATTGTCAATTTGAAGATTATCATTTAATTCGTCAGTTTTTAACATTTTTATTTCACCATTGTGTAACATAGCTATCGCATAAAGATGAATCTCTAATCTCTGATGAAAGAGTAAAGAGGAATGAGGACATTCTGAAATTACATGAAACCGTTTATGGGATACTCGGTAAAGCATGGCCATCTTGCAAGGAAACTCAAGGTAAATACAGCAGTTTGAATTAGCATATAATATTTATATTCTGTAATATTT